ATTTGCAAATTAATTCCAATTCAGCAGTCTCTCGTTGGAGTCTGTTTTCGAAGTTTTTTTGTTGAAGGATAGTCACTTTGAGATCAGAAATCAAGTGACCAGAGAGATTGAAGTGTTCTCCGACTGGTTTATGAATGTTATAATTCTTGACATCTGATTTGTGTCCATTTATTCTTTTACGTAGAGACTGTCCAGTTTGCCCAGTGTACATGGCAGAGGGGCATTGCTGGCACATGATGGCATATATCACATTGGTGGATGTGCAGATGAATGAGCCTCTGATGGTGTGGCTGATGTGATTAGGCCCTATGATGGTGTCCCCTGAATAGATATGTGGGCACAGTTGGCAACGGGCTTTGTTGCAGGGATAGGTTCCTGGGTTAGTGGTTCTGTTGTATGGTGTGTGGTTGCTGGTGAATATTTGCTTCAGGTTGGGGGGCTGTCTGTAGGCAAGGACTGGCCTGTCTCCCAAGATTTGTGAGAGAGTGTTGGGTCGTCCTTCAGGACAGGTTGTAGATCCTTGATAATGCGTTGGAGAGGTTTTAGTTGGGGGCTGAAGGTGACGGCTAGAGGCGTTCTGTTATTTTCTTTGTTGGGCCTGTCCTGTAGTAGGTGACTTCTGGGTACTCTTCTGGCTCTGTCAATCTGTTTCTTCACCTTCAGCAACCTATTGTAGTTGTAAGAATGCTTGACAGAGATCTTGTAGGTGTTTGTCTCTGTCTGAGGGGTTGGAGCAAATGCGGTTGTATCGTAGAGCTTGGCTGTAGACAATGGATCGTGTGGTGTGGTCAGGGTGAAAGCTGGAGGCATGTAGGTAGGAATAGCGGTCAGTAGGTTTCCGGTATAGGGTGGTGTTTATGTGACCATCACTTATTAGCACTGTAGTGTCCAGGAAGTGGATCTCTTGTGTGGACTGGTCCAGGCTGAGGTTGATGGTGGGATGGAAATTGTTGAAATCATGGTGGAATTCCTCAAGGGTTTCTTTTCCATGGGTCCAGATGATGAAGATGTCATCAATATAGCGCAAGTAGAGTAGGGGCATTAGGGGACGAGAGCTGAGGAAGCATTATGCTAAGTCAGCCATAAAAATGTTGGCATACTGTGGGGCCATGCGGGTACCCATAGCAGTGCCGCTGATTTGAAGGTATACATTGTCCCCAAATGTGAAATAGTTATGGGTGAGGACAAAGCCACAAAGTTTAGCCACCAGGTTTGCCGTGACATTATCAGGGATAGTGTTCCTGATGGCTTGTAGTCCATCTTTGTGTGGAATGTTGGTGTAGAGGGCTTCTACATCCATAGTGGCCAGGATGGTGTTTTCAGGAAGATCACCGATGGATTGTAGTTTCCTCAGGAAGTCAGTGGTGTCTCGAAGGTAGCTGGGAGTGGTGGTAGCATAGGGCCTGAGGAGGGAGTCTACACAGCCAGACAATCCTGCTGTCAGGGTGCCAATGCCTGAGATGATGGGGCGCCCAGGATTTCCAGGTTTATGGATCTTGGGTAGCAGATAGAATACCCCAGGTTGGGGTTCCAGGGGTGTGTCTGTGCGGATTTGTTCTTGTGCTTTTTCAGGGAGTTTCTTGAGCAAATGCTGTAGTTTCTTTTGGTAACTCTCAGTGGGATCAGAGGGTAATAGCTTGTAGAAAGTGGTGTTGGAGAGCTGCCGAGCAGCCTCTTGTTCATATTCCGACCTATTCATGATGACAACAGCACCTCCTTTGTCAGCCTTTTTGATTATGATGTCAGAGTTGTTTCTGAGGCTGTGGATGGCATTGTGTTCTGCACAGCTGAGGTTATGGGGTAAGCGATGCTGCTTTTCCACAATTTCAGCCCGTGCACGTCGGCAGAAGCACTCTATGTAGAAGTCCAGTCTGCTGTTTCGACCTTCAGGAGGAGTCCAACTAGAATCCTTCTTTTTGTAGTGTTGGTCGGAAGGTCTCTGTGGATTAGTATGTTGTTCAGAGGTGTGTTAGAAATATTCCTTGAGTCGGAGACGTCGAAAATAGGATTCTAGGTCACCACAGAACTGTATCATGTTCGTGGGGGTGGAGGGGCAGAAGGAGAGGCCCCGAGATAGGACAGATTCTTCTGCTGGGTTAAGAGTATAATTGGATAGATTAACAATATTGCTGGGTGGGTTAAGGGAACCATTGCTGTGGCCCCTTATGGCATGTAGTAGTTTAGATAATTCAGTGTCCTTTTTCTTTTGTAGAGAAGCAAAGTGTGTGTTGTAAATGGTTTGTCTAGTTTTAGTAAAGTCCAGCCACAAGGAAGTTTGTGTGGAAGGTTGGTTTTTTATGAGAGTATCCAGTTTTGAGAGCTCATTCTTAATCTTTTCCTGTTTGCTGTAGAGGACGTTGATCAGGTGGTTCTGCAGTTTCTTTGAGAGCGTATGGCACAAGCTGTCAGCGTAGTCTGTGTGGTATGTAGATTGTAATGGATTTTTTACCTTCAGTCCTTTCGGTATGATGTCCATCTGTTTGCATTTGGAAAGGAAGATGATGTCTGTCTGTATCGGTACGAGGTTTTTCATGAAGTTGATAGATTTCCACTCCATACGGCTAAATGCAGTGCCTTGCATAATGACAGGTTTCAGAATAGCAGTCGTGTTAGTCTGTATTTGCAAAAAGAAAAGGAGTACCTGTGGCACCTTAGAGACTAACCAATTTATTTGAGCATAAGCTTTGGTGAGCTACAGCTCACTTCATCGGATGCATACTTGCGCTATATTGATGACACCTTCATTATCTGGACCCATGGAAAAGAAACGCTTGAGGAATTCCACCATGATTTCAACAATTTCCATCCCACCATCAACCTCAGCCTGGACCAGTCCACAGAATATATCCACTTCCTGGACACTACAGTGCTAATAAGCGATGGTCACATAAACACCATCCTATACCGGAAACCTACTGACCGCTATTCCTACCTACATGCCTCCAGCTTTCACCCAGACCACACCACACAATCCATTGTCTACAGCCAAGCTCTACGATACAATCGCATTTGCTCCAACCCCTCAGACAGAGACAAACACCTACAAGATCTCTATCAAGCATTCTTACAACTACAATAGGTTGCTGAAGGTGAAGAAACAGATTGACAGAGCCAGAAGAGTACCCAGAAGTCACCTACTACAGGACAGGCCCAACAAAGAAAATAACAGAACGCCTCTAGCCGTCACCTTCAGCCCCCAACTAAAACCTCTCCAACGCATTATCAAGGATCTACAACCTGTCCTGAAGGACGACCCAACACTCTCTCACAAATCTTGGGAGACAGGCCAGTCCTTGCCTACAGACAGCCCCCCTACCTGAAGCAAATACTCACCAGCAACCACACACCACACAACAGAACCACTAACTCAGGAACCTATCCTTGCAAGAAAGCCCGTTGCCAACTGTGCCCACATATCTATTCAGGGGACATCATCATAGGGCCTAATCACATCAGCCACACTATCAGAGGCTCGTTCACCTGCACATCTACCAGTGTGATATATGCCATCATGTGCCAGCAATGCCCCTCTGCCATGTACATTGGGCAAACTGGACAGTCTCTACGTAAAAGAATAAATGGACACAAATCAGATGTCAAGAATTATAACATTCATAAACCAGTCGGAGAACACTTCAATCTCTCTGGTCACTCGATTTCTGATCTCAAAGTGACTATCCTTCAACAAAAAAACTTCGAAAACAGACTCCAACGAGAGACTGCTGAATTGGAATTAATTTGCAAATTGGATACAATTAACTTAGGCTTGAATAGAGACTGGGAGTGGTTGAGTCATTATATTAAGTAAAACTATTTCCCCTTGTTTATTCCTCCCCCCCCTCCCTCCGCCCCCCACTGTTCCTCAGACGTTCTTGTTAACTCCTGGAAATGTGCTGGAAATGGCCCACGTTGTTTATCACTTCAAAAGGTTTTCTCTCCCCACACCCCACTCTCCTGCTGATAATAGCTCATCTTAAGTGATCACGCTCCTTACAATGTGTATTTTTTCACGGTCTGTGTGTATCTAAAATCTCCTCACTGTACTTTCCACTTTATGCATCCGATGAAGTGAGCTGTAGCTCATGAAAGCTTATGGTCAAATAAATTGGTTAGTCTCTAAGGTGCCACAAGTACTCCTTTTATTTTTATATATCCAAAGATTATGTTAGCTCTCTTAGCCACCAGGCTGCTCTCAGAGAAGATGGTGGCACTCTATTCTGGCAAGGGGCACAGAAAAGCATGGTTTGTTTGTGGATTAGGTGAGTGTCTCATGTTATTCTGGGCATATAGAAGGGTAGGTAATTTTTCAGTTTTCCTTGTGCTTGCACCAAAAATCACCGAGGCTGCTCAATGGCTAAATTTCACACCCGGGAATATAGAATAGTTTGGAGAGATATGGGATACTTCAATTGTGAAGAATCTGGTAACTGTGAAGGACAGTGATCATTGTATTGTAAGTTACCCAGGGCATATTCTTTGCCTTCCCTAGTTATTGTAAAGCACTACATACACGGATGATGCTGTACAAGTAATAGTTATTGTATCACAACCTGAACTCCTTTTCCATCCCATTTTAGCAGTGGATAGACTAGATTCATTGTTTCTGATTTCTGTGATTGTGTACTAAGGGAAGCGTATTTATCTGATAAAGCAAATCTGCATTTACCTTTCAATGAGAATGTTAACACCACTCTTGCTAGTTTAATCTCATTTTCTGCAGTCACAGCTGTTATGTTCTAGGGTCCCATTTTTTACTATTTGGGTGATAATCTAACACCTAGTTCTGTAAATTGTTCTTGTAGAAGTCTCACATTTCTTCATTCATTTTCTTGTGCAATTTGTCTTCTCCCCTGTGGCTAGTTTAACCTTTTCCTTTAAGAGAACCTGCTATTGCAAAATAAGTCTAGCTGTTGTAACTTGTACTACTTGTGTCAGCCTTGCAATAAAACCCACACTCTCATGTTTACCTCACTGGGTTGGGCTTTTGAAAACGGCATCATTTCATACTCCCTGATTAGGAAAGCACTTACAACAAGTGTAGCTTTGGAAAGGCTCAGATACATTGTTCATGGCTCAAATCACTCTGCTAAAGGACTCTTGAGATTAAATTTTAATCAACTTTAAGTAAACTCAAGAGCAACTGAAAGTCAAGAAAATCTGCTGGTCAAGTGAGCTACACGGGACTTCAGGCAAGAACAGTCATGGGGATACTTTATTCAGAGGTATGTGGTCATTTCTTATGAGGTATGTGAAACTGTAGAAGATCTATATAGAAGAGATTTAGATTTCCTTGACAGGCTTACATTAGGAATTGAAAACCCCATCTTGTCTAAAGTATAATATTTTAGAAGTGTATAAGGGTACTTTTTGTACAAATACCTACATTACATGGGTTGTTTCATTTTCAGAGAAGAAGGTGTTAGCTAAGTTAAGAGTATGCTACAGCTCTGCATTCAGAGCGAAGCAGTTTGGGGTTCTGTTTGACATGTTAGGCAATGCCACTGAGTGGCCACTTTACCAACTGTGTTAAAACCAAGCCAAACTATTGCCTTAAGGGCCAAATCCAGCGGCCATTTCTCTTTACTGAATGGAAGAGAGTTCTCTCCTCATTCCCACACACATCTTAGCATCAGTAATGGGGAGACAGCGGTGGGGAGGAAGGGGGTGCCTTGATTTTAGCAAGAGTGCTGTATAAAATGTATGGCCAAATGCTTTCCATAATTACAGACAAGGAGCTGAATCTCTCCTTTGCTCCCTAGACTCTGATTACAACTGATAGGTTTCTCCTGCTGGATATAGCATAGAACGTACATGCCTCTCAAAAACTAAATTAACATATGGAAAAGCAATAAAGTTTTCATTTAAAAAAGTAAAGTGCTATTTCAAATGAAAGGGAATGAGGCACTTTAATTTATATATAGTTCAGTTGCACGTGTTCATAAGCCAACTAACTGGTTGGACTTCATTCCACTTCAAAGCTGTAGACAGATATTTACAACAACTTCCTTTTAAAGTCTTTACTACTCTGACAGAACTTTCTCAGGCTTTTTACATCAAAAACTGAAAGTTTAAGAGGTTTAATTAGAGCAGAGTCAGTGTAATTACTGTCAACATTTCTTTCATACTTTTTAGTAAACAACTAAATTCATTAGTTATTTTTCCAGTAGAATGTATTTTTAGGGAGTAATTTTCTTTGGAAAGTAGGGCTCCTACATGACTAATATAAATGAACAGTGATGTAAATGAGTGACAAGTTATAGTTTCTGGACAGTTGGGATGCTGACCGATTTTTCAGAAATGGTGTAAATAATTGTTTTATTTTCCAATTATTCTCTTCAACATTGATTCACACCTAATTTGTAGAATAGGTGTGTCAACTTGAGTTAGATTTCAAGGCATAAATTAATGCAATGGAGTTTCTGAAACAGAGTATCTATGCATTGTGGGAAGGGACTCCATTTTATAAGAGCAAATGGAAATGTAAGACTATTTCATAAAAACCCCCATGCAATTTTGAGAGACTGTAGTTATCTGTACTCTGGGTCACAGTTACAAGACTAGCTGCATTGTTGTCCCCTCTGTGAGTACAGGCCTCATTGCCCTTTCCTCAGGTGTCAGGCCTTGTCATAAAGATAAAGGGAAGGGTAACCACCTTTCTGTATACAGAACTATAAAAATCCCTCCTGGCCAGAGGCAAAACCCTTTCACCTGTAAAAGGTTATGAAGCTAAGATAACCTCGCTGGCACCTGATCAAAATGACCAGTGAGGAGACAAGATACTTTCAAAGCGGGGGGAAACAAAGGGTCTGTCTGTCTGTCTGTGTGATGCTTTTGCCAGGAACAGAGCAGGAATGCAGCTCAGAACTCCTGTAAAAAGTTAGTAAGTAATCTAGCTAGAAATGTGTTAGATTTCTTTTGTTTAATGGCTGGTAAAATAAATAGCTATGCTGAATGGAATGTCTATTCCTGTTTTTGTGTCTTTTTGTAACTTAAGGTTTTGCCTAGAGGAATTCTCTGTGTTTTGAATCTGATTACCCTGTAAGGTATTTACCATCCTGATTTTACAGAGGTGATTCTTTTACTTTTTCTTTAATTAAAATTCTTCTTTTAAGAACCTGATTGCTTTTTCAGTGTTCTTAAGATCCAAGGGTTTGGGTCTGTGTTCACCTATGCAAATTGGTGAGGATTTTTATCAAGCCTTCCCCAGGAAAGGGGGTGTAGGGCTTGGGGGGAAGACTTCTCCAAGTGGGCTCTTTCCCTGTTCTTTGTTCACCACGCTTGGTGGTGGCAGCATAGGGTTCAAGGACAAGGCAAAGTTTGTACCTTGAGGAAGTTTTTAACCTAAGATAGTAAGAATAAGCTTAGGGGGTCTTTCATGCAGGTCCCCACATCTGTACCCTAGAGTTCAGAGTGGGGAAGGAACCTTGACAGGCCTCATGCCCTTTCCAGCCCAGGGGAAGTTCTCTCTGTTAGATGACACTATGGGATACAGTACCCTGTGCATCAACTGTGCTTACCCAGCAAGCACAACTGAGCTCAGCACCTGTGACTTTTCCTGTCAGGAGTCTGTGACTAGTGGTATATACAGTCATCAGATCAACCTTCTTAAATCAGTGTACTTATTGATCACAGTAGGAACAAAGAATGGGGGGGGGGAGAATTTAAAACAAACATGTCTACAGGCACATTCTTACGCTTGATGGTAACCTGTGCAGGACTAACTTTCTTCAGACACCCCTGGAAGGTACGTGCACACATATGGGTTGCCAGAACACCTGCCCAACAACTACCTCCTCCTTTCAGAGACAGTCCATTTTTAAACTGATAGGAGATCTAAAGGACTATTGTTTCAGGCCTGTTTCTTGTAATGGTATTGTCTCAGAACAACCCCCAAGTGTTTGCCAAGGGCTAGCTTATCTGCAGCCATTTTTTTTTTTTTGCTTCCTGCTTGTTTTTACCAGACAGCACCCTATTAGACTAAGCAGATACATTCATGAAGTAAACATCCCAATAACCAGATAAAAATCCAGTATTCATACGTTAGAGATCAGATCCATGACTACCACATTCTGATCTAACCAAATGCTTTAAGACTGATGAACAAAATCTGTCTTACTGTCATCAGTATTTTGGTTAGAGAAGTTCAATTTGTTGAGAGCTTGATGCAATACCCAGTAAGTCCATGGAGGGACTCCCGCTTGACTTCAATGGCCTTTGGATCAAGCTCTTGAGGATCCATGCTCCCCTTTTTAGATTATTCCTGTTACTGGGGCAGGATCTGTGCTGACCATTGTCTGCCTCTGCACTACCATTACAGGTTTCCACAACAAATGGAAGGAAGTTTTACAACTCACTGCAGACCCCATAGAATCAAGGGCAGGCAGCGTTCTACAAAGTGGCCTGTTCCCCACAACTACACACAGGGACCCCTCCCAAACATGCATCTGGATCAAATACCATGTCCTTGTGTAAGGACTTCTGCTATTTTAGAGAAAAGCACTTTCTCCTTTCTTGCCTCTGTTAGATGCAAGGGTCAGTCAACATCAGTTCTGTGGTGTCCCCCTTTAAGTTCTGGGACTTTTTAGAGTGGATGAAGACCTAGAGAAGGCAGAAGTAGATGTTGGGAGAGAGGACTATGGTCCCAGAGGCTAGTTAAGGCTTGGAGAAAATCCAGGCTACTGCTTCTTTGAGAGCCTGGGACTAGGAGCCTAGTAGAGTGTGGGTGGGCAGGGTACCCCTCGCTCCCAACCAATTGGGCAAGCTCTGGGAAGACTACTATATATTCTGTCTCTTCCCTTAGAAGATGATCTGCCTGCTGAACCCTCCTAAGCTGAGGGTGAAAGCATTGATTGGGGGAAAAAGGACCAGCTGGAGGGGAAACTGGCCTAAGTTACAGCTTCAGCTCCAAGGAAGAGAGCTCGGGGACACCTAACTTAAGGAGAGGGACAGAGGGATTGTCTGAAGTACAACCCAGCTCCTTCTCTGGGTCGCAGCTTGTAAATGCCTCTGCTTCATTATCCAGGGTCTTCTTCAGAACCTGCTTTGATCTGAGCTCCTGTTGTGTAACAGTGGAGTCTAGTATGTCTTGTGGATGTTTTCAGTACCTCCAACTCTCCCCTCAGCCCCCGGGTTTCTGGTTTGTTCCTGGCCGCTCAGACTCCAAGGGCTATATTCACAAAAGAATTTAGGAAACTAACTGCCACTTTAGGCCTAAATCCCATAATCAGATCCAATTGGGATTCACAAAACCCCTGCTCAGATGATCCTGAACTCTGCAGGCCTCTAAACTCAGTAAGCAAATGTTTGCAGTGAAAATTCCCTAGGTGCTTATATTTCTGCCTCTGATCATGTGCCTTACATCAGGCACCTGGATACTTAAGCCCAGAATGATGCACAAGCTGGGGGGAAAGACAGGCATTCCTTTGCTGAAATTGCCCATAGGATCCAATACAGTCTGAATGCTCAGATCTGGCCTACTGGATCAGGCCCCTATAGGCAAGTTTACACAGTATAGCTGGGGGGAAGTATCACCATCCTAATCACTGGGCTAAAAATTATGAGGGAGGTGCCCCCTTTCTTGCTTTGTGTTAAAATGGTGTAGGTGCTTAACATCAAGACAGGGTTTGCAGCTGAGATTCCCCAGTGCGGGGAGGCACGGGCTTAGCATACCCCTTGGCTTGGCATCTCCCATTGGCTAGCTTAGGCAAGCTATATAGTGTGCTGGCTTTTGTGAATCCCATTATGAGGTGTGGATTCTCTCCCCCATTATGAATGATGAATCCCATTATGAGGTGTGGGTCTCTCCCCATTCACTGTATAGGGAGCTTAACCTAGGCTTTGTGAATCCCAGTGATATTTCCAGGACCTTAAAAGTTAGGCATGGCAACACTGAGTGCCACCACATTTAAGTTTTTGTGAATGTAGCCCCAAGTCTCTCTGAAGTTCAGTGACCTGAGATTCCATCTTACTGATTACCTTCTGGGCCGCGTTCTTCTGGGGTGCTTCCTTTTCCACCTTCACCAAAGTGGCTTGTAGTTCCTCTTTCGATCAGCCAGTTGTCTTTTGAATTCTGTGATTTGAACCTACAACTCGGTACTCTGGTCATGCAGATCAGTGGAGTTTTCCGAAAGCTTCCTGGAAATTATCCCCACCACTAGTCACTGCTCTTCTTTGCAAGACAGACAGGCATTCCCCCAGAGCGGTGATTGTGGCCTTGTGCCTG